GCTCTCTTTTTCTGGGATGTGGGTACTAAAAGGAATTGTTTGAGAGACTTTTATAAAACATATTAATAGGTGATTCTTCTTCTCTAAGGCTTTGTTCCAAAACTGTGTTTTTAAAATTTAGAGAGATTCATGAAACAAAATAAAAATTTTGACTTTTTTTTCTACCTGTCAATGTATCACAAAGAAACTTGCTGCTGTGCTTAGTCATTACTTACACATTGCACTTGATCTTCTGCTCAACAGCATCTCTTAGCAGCTTGCTTATCACCCCATTTCCCTCCCCAAACTCTTCACTTACCCGAAGCTGTGCCAGCAGCTACCAGCGACGTTGGCGACGCAGCCAGACAACAAGTTTGGAAAATGGGGTATTTCCTAGATGGTAAGTTGAGATTTTGAACATGATGGAATAGTGCTTCAAATTTAAGTCTATATGAGGATTTTAGAGCCTGAGACTTGTATTTTGTGTATTTGAAGTCTGTAACTGAAAACTTTAAAATTTTTTTTCCTTTGGTCTTTTTGAGACAGGGTCTCCCTATAGCCCCAGCTGTCCTGGAACTCACTATGTAGACTAGGCTGGCCTCAAACTCACAGAGATCCACCTGCCTCTGCCTCCTGAGTGCTGGGACTAAAGGCGTGCACCACCACACCTGGCTAAAATTTTATTATTTTTAATTGTCATAAGCCATACAAAACCAGTTTACTGTTTTAATCATTTTTTTACTATACGGTTTGGTCCGTTGACACTAAGTACCTTCACACCACCATCATCATGTAATTCTGGAACTTTTTCATCATTCTGAACTAAAACCCTGTGGCTATTAAAAAATAGCTCCCTGGTCCTCAATCCCCTCTCCATTGTCCTTCACAACCACTGTTCTATTTTTAACTTTTTATTTTGGTTATTTATTTATTTATTATTTATTTATGTGTTGTGAGTGTGGCGGAGGTTGGGGGGACCACATGTGTGTGGGTACCAGAGGAGGCCAGAAGATGGCATCGGTTCCCCGGGAGCTGGAGTTACAGGTGATTGTGAACTCCCAACTTGGGTACTGGGAACCAAATTCAGGTCCTCTGGAAGAGCAGCAAACACTCTTAACTACAGAGCCATCTCTCCAGTCTCACTGTTCTTTTTTTAATCTCTTCATACTTTAACTGCTCTAATTATCTTTTATAAGTGGAGTCATATAGGACTTAGCCTTTTATATCTAACTTACTTTGCTTAGTGTGTATTCAAGGTTTATCCATGTTGTAGCATGTTTAAAAATTCATATTTATGGCTAAATAACATTCCACTAGAAGTACATTTTCTGGACTAGGGGGATAAACTCTGTCAGTAAAGTCCTTGTTATACAAACCTGAAGACCTGAGTTCAGATCTCTAGCACTCAAATAAAAAGCCAGGTGCACGTGGACTAGGGGGATGACTCTGTCAGTAAAGTCCTTGTTATACAAATCTGAAGACCTGAGTTCAGATCTCCAGCGCTCATATAAAAAGCAAGGTACACCTGTTTCCCAGCACTGGGGAGGCAAAGACAGGAGAATTGCTAGGATTTGCTGGCCAGCCAATCTAGCTAAATTAGCATGTTCCAGGTAAACGGTGCTTTAGGAAGACATCTGATATCAGCTTGTACACACATGGTCTTTGCACACATGCATGCACATGTTCCTGCACGCCCAGAAGCACACAAAAAGAAGTACATTTTGTTTATCCATTCATCTGTCTATGAACATGTAGGTTGCTTTTTACCTTTTATCTGCTATGAATATGGGTATTTAAATGACTAGTTTCAGTCCTTACCTTGTGTTCTTTCGGGTATATGCCCAGAAGTGCACTTCTGAGTCACATGGTCATTCTATTTTTAATGTTTGAGGAACTGGTGTATGGTGACTGTATGATTTTACATTCACGACAGCATGGTAAAAGTTCTGATATCTCTACGTTCTCACCAACCCGTGCTGTCTTCTGGTTTGGGGTTTTGTTTGTTTTGGTCCTGGGGATGGAGCCCTTAGCCTTCTGTATTCCAGGGAAGCACCACCACTGAATGACACCCTAGACCTCTTTTCCCCTTCTAATAATCATCATTCTAATGAAGTGATTTGCAAGTACTTTTTGGTCATTTGTACATCGTCTGTGGAGAAATATATGTTCAATTTTTATGCCCCAGTTTTGAATCATAATACTTTTGTTAATGTATTAGAATAGTTCTTTATATATATTTTGGATATTAGTCTATTACCAAGTATGTGATTTGTAAATATTTTCTCCCGTGCCATGGATTACCTTTTTGATCTGTTGATTATGATGTCCTGTGATTCATAAAGATTTTTTTTTTTTTTTTTTTTTTTTTGGATACAGGGTTTCCCTGTAGCCCCAGCTGTCCTGGAACTCACTATGTAGACCAGGCTGGCCTTGAACTCACAGAGATCTGCTTGCCTCTGCCTCCCAAGTGCTGGGACTACAGGCGTGTGCCACCATGCCCGGCTGATCCAAAAAGAATTTTTTAGTTTTATATAATTCATTAATTCTTATATAATTTAACTTGTTTTGTTGTTGTGCCTGTGCCAAATTTAGTTTTGTGGCGATGTTCCTTTTGCTCTCTTCTGAGACGTTTATGCTTTAGAGCTTCACTCCTGCACCACATTTTGGTATATTCATTTTTCATTGTTCTGTTTGGGCAGTTTGCTCATTCTTAAAAGGTCTTTCTTTACTCCATGTTAAGTACAATTATAGGTATTGAAATGTCTCGTTTCCTCATTTACTTAGTTCTCTCATTCCTTCTTTTTTTTCGGTCTTTTTGAGACAGGGTCTCCTTTAGCCCCAGCTGTCCTGGAACTCACTATGTAGACCAGGCTGGTCTTGAACTCACAGAGATCCACCTGCCTCTGCCTCCTGAGTGCTGGGATTAAAGGCATGTGCCACCACGCCAGGCTCATTTATTCCTATAATCTCAAGATAAGTAGATCCTAGAACTCTGGGTAAATTATCCAGATTCATCTAAAAAAAAATCCTATAATTCAGACATTTTTTTTAGCCTTTTTAAAAAAATTGAGAACAGATGGGGGTGGTGACACACACCTTCAATCCCAGCACTCTGGGATCTTTGTGAGTTCCAAGCCAGCCTGGTCTACATAGCAAGTTCCAGGACAGCTGGGGCTACAAGGAGACACTGTCTCCAAAAAAAAAAAAAACAAAAAAAAAACTTTGTATTTAATTTGATATAACAGCAGAAGCTCTTTAACTTACCTACATTTAATTAGGAAGAAGATTACATTGCAAATTTAATTGCTTTTATTTTAAAAAAATATAAATGTTGATTTTTAAGGTCTGTAGAAGAAAGCTTTAATCTGTCAGATGAAAGCTGTGGACCTAACCCAGGAATTGTAAGGAAAAAGAAGATTGCAATTGGGGTAATCTTTTCATTATCCAAAGATGAAGATGAAAACAACAAGTTCAATGAGTTCTTTTTTTCACATTTTCCTCTGTTTGAAAGCCATATGAACAAACTAAAGAGTGCAATAGAGCAGGTGAGTGCAGTCCCTTATGTCTTACTTCACCTTTGTCTTTGGAGGTTTTTTGTTTATTAAGCTGTATGTTTATTCATTTGTCAGAAAAATTAACAGCTGTTTCGCAGTTGCTCTGTAAAATGCTCCTAAAGTGTTTTTAAAAGGAGCGTACTATTAAAAAAATCCAAGGCTGTTAATTCATTTAGAAACTAAATTTGTAGCTGGATGTGATGGCGCATGCCTTTAATCCCAGCACTCGGGAGGCAGAGGCAGGTGGATCTCTGGGAGTTCAAGGCCAGCCTGGTCTACATAGTGAGTTCCAGGACAGCTGGCTACAGGGAGACCCTGTCTCAAAAAGACCAAAAAAAAAAAAAAAAAAAACAAAAACAAAAAAAAAAAAAAAAAAAAACCAAAACAACAACAACAAAAAAAGAAACTAAATTTCGAAGAGCCTATCATCTAGTTAATATAGTAGGAAAATTGTAGTGTCTGAAGTAAAAGGTAGGGTTGTGTGTGCGTGTGTGCATGCCTGTGAGTGAGCGCCTGCTCCTGAAGTCATAAAATAGCAGGTAAATGAGTATCTTTATTTTTAGATGCTATTGTAAAGAAAAATAAAATGGCATTCTTTGTATACCTTTCTCTGTTTTATTGTGATTCTAGAGAAGTCATCAGTGTAAAGAAGGTACTATGAGGCATAGGACTGATTTATCAGATGGGGAAGAGGACAGAAATCCTAGGCCTGAGTTGTCAGGCATTTCAACAGTGGGCTTAAGAACAAAAGGACACAGCAGAGATGGTTAAGGACTGGCCATGCAGTCAAGAGGGAAGATGATTGCTTTTTAAGTGGAGCCAACAAAAGAAAGTGAAGAGGGAGAAATTATTTGTGTTAAATGTTGCTGTTAGTGCCAGGTGTGGTAGTGCACCCCTTTAATCCCAGCAGAGGCAGGCGTAATCTCTGAATTCAAGGCCAGCCTTTTCTACATAGCAAGTTCTAATCCAGCTGGGTTACAGGGAGACGCTGTCTCAAATAGACCCCCCCCCCAAAAAAATGTTGGTGATAGTATATAAAAGAAATGTCTAAGCTTAGAAAATTGTAAGGTACAGGTTAGAAACCTAAATATAACTGCAAAGGACAAATAAGAGTTTTTGTTTTGTTTTGTTTTTATTTCAAGGGGACAGAGGCAAAGCCCACAGGGATGGCTCAGTGGTTAAAAGCACTTGCTGCTCTTGCCTCTGGAGGACCCATGCTTGTTTCCCAGCACCCACATAGCAGCTCACAGCCACCTCTAATGTTAGTTCAAGGGGGAATTGACATCCTCTTCTGGCTTCCAAAGGCTCCTACATATACATGGTACCCATGAACTCACACACGCACACATACAACATACACGTAATGTTTCTTTAAATGAGTAGGGCCGGGCAAGGTGGTGTGTACCTTTAATCCCAGCCCTTGGGAGGTAGAGACAGATGGATCTTTGTGAGTTCAAGGCCAAACTGGTCTACATAGTGAGTTCCAGCCTAGCCAGGGCTACATAGTGAGACCCTGTCTCAACAAGCAAACAAAAAAAGAGTACAAAGGAAAGACAAATGACTTTCTAATGAGAAAAATTTCATTTAGAATGGATCTTAAAGCCTGTGTTGAAATTTTTTAAACTTAGAAAATTGGGTATAAAAGGAGCAAGAAAATTGCTGTCTTTGCTGTCCAAGGGGAACGCCTTTAACAGTTTGCTGAAAGTCTTGCTGGGGCTAGGTCTTTTGTTTGTGTATTATACTTTTCTTTGTTAGAGATTATTCTCTGTCCATACTTTTTAAATTACAGAGCCATTAAAAAGTTATTGAAACACATTTGAAAGAATGTGTGCTTCGTATATATTCATCTTTAAATTCTTTTTAAATGTACTTTGTAGACTTTCTCAATTTAAATAACAGTTTCCCTTTTAGGTCATGTAAAGGAAGCAAGGAAAACAGAATGGTAGACTGAAGATGATCTTAACATCTCAGTGATGAATAAGGATTTTCTGCCTCTAAAGTAGACGTAGACATTTTTCACATTGAATATATCATTTTCCTGGACAAATGAGAAAATAACTGTAAATTTCTCAAGCTAAACATTGGTCACATTTTTTCTTAAGTTGGCCACTGTCCTTTTTTTGTAGATCTTTACCAAAGTCATCACTCATAGGTCTTGTGCCTGAAACATTTTGTGTTACTTGGAGGATTTTTGTTTTTGTGGTGATGGTGAGGGTTGGGTTTTTGTTGGTTCACTCGTTTTTGTTGTTTGGTTTTGTTGAGATAGGATCTAACTCTGTAGTCCAGGCTAGCCTGGAACTTATAATTCTGCCTCTACTTCCAAGTACTGTTACTACAGCAGATGTATACTACGTACTTGGAAAAGTATTTTAAACTTTATTTTTTAAATTTTTAAAATGTATTTTTATTTTATGTGTATGACTGTTATGCCCGTGTGTACGTGCAGCTGTTGTGCTGTGGGTGCTGGGATTCAAACCCAAGTCTTCTGCGAGGGCAGCCAATGCTCTTAATTGCTGAGCCATTTCTCCAGTCCCATGAACTTTGTATAAAATTTGGTAGGCAGTAAAAGAACTTACTGAAGATTACTTTTAAAGTATTTTCATGTTTTATCGCCTTCACCGTTCTATAATCTAAAATGTTCATTGTTAATACTTGTTTGGCTATTCATGTTTAAGATGAAACTGAACTGTTAGTTTTACACAAATGTGACTAATTTTTTGAAGTTCTGTAATAATTGATAGAATTTAGTAAGCATTTCTTTGAGGACCAGCTTGCAAACTATTCATTTTTGTTTTGGTTTGGTTTTTAACCAAACTATGCACTTTATTTTTATTTTATGTGTATGATGTTTTGCCTGCATCTATGTTATGTGTACCTTTGTCATGGCAGTGTCCACAGAGGCCAGAAGGTGTTGCATCACTCAGAACTGGAATTACACATGGTTGTTAACTGCAACATAGGTGCTGGGAATGGAGCCTGAGTCCTCAGGAAGAGCAGCCGGTGTTCTTTTTTTGTTTCTGTTTTTGTTTTGAGACAAGGTCAACCCTGTAGCCTCAGGTAACCTGGAACTAGCTGTGTAGGTAATCCAGGCTGGCTTCCATTTCAAAGAGATCTGCCTGCTTCTGCCTCCTGAGTGCTAGGATTAAAGGTGTTATTCCACTGTGCCTCGCTAGCAGACAGTGATTTTAACCACTGAGCTGTCTTTCCAGCTCCCAAACCAATCACTTTTTAAAACGTTTATTTAATAAAAGCTATTGATTTTGTTTCTGGACACAATGGTAATTATTTTGAAGTCTGTCTTTTTGAGTTCTGTGTTGTAATTTTAAAATATTGTTAGCAAGATTAAAGAACACTAAAATCTATCAAAAGAACATTTGTTTTATCAATTGCAATTGATTGTTTTCAAGGCTATGAAAATGAGCCGGAGATCAGCTGATGCCAGTCAGAGAAGTTTGGCATACAGTCGAATAGTTGACGCCCTAAATGAATTCAGGTATATATTCTTCACTTTTCCATAATACAGAGTTGTTTTACAATATACACAGGAAGTTATTTGTAACTTACTCTAATAAAATTTAAGTAAGTTTATTCGTTTGCTAGTTTTTTGGCTTTAGGGACTTCCTATGTAGCCCAGGCTAGCTTTGAACTCATGATCTTCCTGCCTCGTCCTCCAGGCATCCATATCTTTTAAATTTCTTTAAATGTCTTTGTCTCATAGTCATTTGAGAGTGTAATTCAGTAAGGCTGTTGGCCTTAGAGCTATTAAACCACATCTGGGAGCTCTTAGGTTGTGGTTTGTTATATAGACTGTTTGAGAAGCAGCTATGACTAGAGAGACCTTGTGACAGGAAGTATGATCTGCTCTCTCCCAGACTCCTAAGTATAGTACATTTCAGATGAGTCTAGTTAAGGCATCCATATCCTTAGGCATAATAAGCCTGGTGTTGCACAACTTTTACCTCAGCATTCTGGATGCAAAGGCAGAGGCAAGCAGAATTTCTGTGAGTTCAAGGTCAGCCTGGTCTACATATCCAGTTCCAGGCTAGCCAGGGCTACATAGTGAGACCCTATCTTCAAAAAAAAATCATAACTGGATTTAGATATATGTTTGTACTATCTGAGATTTATTAGTATCAGGAGTGTTTCTCCCTCTCTTTTAGAAAAATTGGCTGTATTTTATTAACAATTGTTTCTTTTTTTTTTTTAATTTGGTCTTTTTGAGACAGGGGTCTCTCTGTAGCCCCAATTGGCCCTGACACTCACTATGTAGACCAGGCTGGCCTTGAACTCACAGAGATCCGCCTACATCCCAAGTACTGGGATTAAAAGTGTACTCAGTTTGACAGTTGTTTCTTAACGGGACAGGGTTTTGTAGATTTCTGTTGTTGTTTTTTAAATGGCTCCTCAGCATTTTGAAGTAAGAGGTTGTTAGCTTGTGATACTGCAGAATTGTGTTGAAACTATAGGCATGTCACATAACTTTTTTTTTTAATTAATTGAAGTGACCAGGGTCTGGTTGGATTTAAATTGAAGAAACTTAGTCTTTGCTATGGTGTAATGATCTATTAGACTCACTTATTGAAGAGAAAACTATCTGATAATCATTTGTATTTATTGTTATTTTTAGGATAAAAAACATTTAAAGTAAGCCAGGTGTGGTGGCGCATGCCTTTAATCCCAGCACTTGGAAGGCAGAGGCAGGTGGATCTTTGCAAGTTCAAGGCCAGCCTGGTCTACATAGTGAGTTCCAGGCCAGCAGGGGCGACAGGGAGACCCTGTCTCAAAAAGACCAAAAAATAAAATAAAATAAAATGAAGTTTATCTTACTTTTTCTTTATGGTAATTTCAGTGGTTAGGGAATAAGTAGAGAAACACGATTAATTTCAAGTTGTATTTAATTTTTTATCATGAAGGAAATAATTCGCATAGGTAAAAATTATTTTAGAGATGATATTTTTGCCAAATTCAATTTAAGAGGCCTCATTAGACACACACACACACACACACACACACACACACATATACATATACACACACAATCATTGTTAGTGATCTGGCTGTGAACATACATTACCATACAAGGCAGTATGCTGAAGAAACCTGTAGAAAACTTAAGTGATCAGAGTATTCGTTTATTGATAGTTTTTTCTTTTTTTTTCTTTTAAAAACTGAAGGATAGGCACATTAAAAAAAATAAACGAACCCTATCTACCTCTTCTCTTTCCCATTCTTCTCAGAAGCATTTTTATTTTTATTTTTATTTTATTTTATTTTATTTTTTTGTCTTTTTGAGACAGGGTCTCCCTGTAGCCCCAGCTGCCCTGGAACTCACCCTGTAGACCAGGCTGGCCTTGAACTCACAGAGATCCACCTGCCTCTGCCTCCTGAGTGCTGGGATTAAAGGCGTGCACCATCGCGTCCGGCCCCTTACATATTTATTTTAAAATTTAACGTTATATTTATGTTTGTATTGCTGGTGTTTGGTGTGTCTGTTTCTGTGTCAGTTATCTCCTTCCACAATATGGGTTTGGGGACTCTGGCTGGCCTGGTGACAAACACCTTTACCAACTGAGCCATCTTGCTGGCCCCTGACAATTTTAACTGATAAAACACATAAAATTATGTTCAGCGTGGTGGTCCATGCCTTTACTCCCAGGAGGCAGAGGCAGTCTGGATTTCTGTGAGTTCACGACCAGCCTGCTCTACATAGCTACTTCTAGGCCAGCTGGCACTACAAGGAGACCCTGTTTCAAAAAGAGCGGGAAAAAAAAACACACACACACACACATAAAATTTAACAATTTTAACTGATAAAACACATAAAATTATTCTGGGTGTGGTGGCGCATGCCTTTAGTCCCAATACTCGGAAGGCAGCAGCAGGCAGATGTCTGTGAATTCAAGGCCAGCCTGGTCTACATAGAGAGTTCCAGGTTAGCTGGGGCTGCAGGGAGACCCTGTCTCAAAACAACAACAGAAACAACCACAACAAAAAATTATGCATTGTGCTGGATATCTTTAGTGTCAACTCGACACACCTGGGTTGAGGGAGCCTCAGTTGGGTAATTGCCTCTGTTGGACTGGCCTGTGGCCATATCTGAGGGGCATCTTCTTGATGAGTGATATGAGAGGACCCAGCCCACTGTGGGTGGTGCCACCCCTGGCCTGTGCTCCAGCTCCTGCTTCCAGGTTCCTGCTCTGAGTTCCTCCCTTGGGCTCTCTGATGAACTGTGACCTGAGAGATGTAAACTGAATAAACCCTTTCCTCCCCAAGTTAGTATTGGTCAGAGTATTTTGTCACAGCAATGAAGAACAAACCAGAACAGAAATTGGTACCAGGAGTGGGGTATTGCTTTGACAGACCTGACCTTGATGTTTTTGGAAGGACTGTGGAAGTGTTTGGAACTTTGGGCTGGAAAAGCCATTGCGTGCTCAGAGTTTGTTGCTGTGGAGCTTGGAACAGTTATGCTAAAAGAGTTGTAGATGATGGAGGCCGGGCTTGTGAAGCTTCAAACGGAAGCAGAGACTATCAGGGCAGTTCATGTGAGATTTTGGATTGAGAATCTGTGGGTTCTGGTCAGCTGGGGCTGAAGAATCAGCTGTGATTAAGAAGAGACCAGAACCTGAAGTAAAACCTTTGTTTTACTGGGACAACTGATGCTGATTAGCTGGGGCTGAAAAATCAGCTGTAAGTAACAAGAGACCAGCATCACTGTGGTGGAATCTTCTGGGAGGTATTTCCTCAGGGTCAGCACACAGAGGGGACCCGCACCTCTATCTCAAGCTGGAAGCAGGACTTGGTAATGTGTAAGAGTCTCCTGCATGGTTCTGGTGTTGAAAGCGTGAAGGGGTCACAGAGAGCAGCTGAGGCTTGGCACACTGAGAGGCCGGGAAAGGCCATAGGTGAAAGTGCAGGATTGAAGGGGTCACGGAGAGAATCTGAGGCCTTACACCCCAAGAGGCAAGAAGAGGCCATTGGTGAAGGTGTAGCTTCAGTTTCAGTGGAGACCCCAGCTTTTTGGAGATGCCAGGACCATGGGACGACCACCAAGGACAGCAGTAAGTGTGGAATAGAGCTGGCCTGGGTCTGCAAGACGAGCTGAGTGTGCTGTGGACTGCAGAGTCAGAGCAGTGGAGCTGCCAGTACCCTTTGGAGCCCAGAAGATCATGAATGAATCCTAGATGTCCAATCTCAAGCTACTTTGCTGGACTTTGGTTTTACTTAGGTGTGTCCAATTCGTCTCTTTGAAATAAGACAGTACTTGTTTTGGATTTTACAGAAGCCCACAGTTAAGAGACTTTTAAAAGAGACTATGAACTTTTAAGTGTTTGGATTTTTTAAGGACTGTGGGGGATTTTAAGGTTGTACTGTCTTATGTTGTGATATTAACATCATATGTTGGGGACAGAAATTGGAAAGTTACGGTTAATAGTGATGTTTGTGTGTCAAGTTGATAAGGGGTCAATTGTGCTGGATAGCTTTAGTGTCAACTTGACACACCTGGGTTGAGGGAGCCTCAGTTGGGGAATTGCCTCTATTGGACTGGCCTGTGGCCATATCTGAGGGGCATCTTCTTGATGAGTGATGTAGGAGGACCCAGCGCACTATGGGTGGTGCCACCCCTGGGCAGGTGGGCCTGTGTTGCCTAAGAAAGCAGTCTGAGCAGGGGTCAGGGGAGCAAGCCAGTAAGCAGCATTCCTCCATGGCCTGTGCTCCAGATCCTGCTTCCAGGTTCCTGCCCTGAGTTCCTCCTACCTTGGGCTCCCTGATGAACTGTGACCTGGGAGATGTAAACTGAATAAACCCTTTCTTCCCCAAGTTACTATTGGTCAGAGTATTTTGTCACAGTAATGAAGAGAACAAACCAGAACATGCATATTTAAATGGCACAAACTATAGTATAGTTTAAGTAGAAGAAACATATCTGTTCCCTCCAGCATTTATCATTTTTTTATGGTGAACACAGTTGAAATTATTTCTTGCTTTAACGTGCGTGCACGCGCACACACACATACACATACTCAGGCACGCAGTTGTGCCTGCAGGGAGACCCTGTCTCAAAAAAAAAAAAAAGAAAAATGTATCCTGTCATTCTTTCATTCTTTTAGAGTAAATTCTTTCTTCTGTAAAACCCTTGTTATAAAAGTTTTATTTTTATCTTATTTAAAATACCTTTAATTCTTTGTTGTTACTATTTGTTTTTGAGGCAGGGTCTTGCTGTGTGTCACTGGCTGGCCTGGATACATATGGCTCCTGGAACTCACTATGTAGACCAGGCTGGTCCCACACAGCAGTCCTCTTGCCTTGGCCTTCTGAGTGCTGGGATTACAAACATGTGCCACCATGCCTGCCAAAATACTTTTAATTTTTACTTGTTTTTCAGTTTTCAACAGTGATTTTTAAAAGAATTTATATATATATTATTTATTATTTTTATTTTATGTGTATGAGTGTATTTGCCTGCATGTATGTGAGCGTACCCATGTAATGCAGTGCCACAGAGATCAGAAGAGGCTTCGGATTCCCCTGGAACTGGAGTTAAGGATGGTTTGTAGCCACCATGTGGGTGCTGGGAATGGAAGCCGGGTTCTCTGCAAGAGCAGTCAGTGCTCTTAACCGCTGAGCCATCTCTCTAGTCCCTAAAATTTTTTTTTTTAGTTTTCTTTTTTCTTTCTTTTTTTTTTTTCCCCCTTTTCTTTTTGAGACAGGGTTTCCTTGGAGTCCCAGCTGTCCTGGAACTCACTATGTATACCAGGCTGGCCTGGAACTCACAGAGATCACCTGCCTCTGCCTCCTAAGTGCTGGGTTTACAGGCATTGGCAACCACACCCAGCAATTTTTTTTATTTATGAGTGTCATCCCTGCTTGTATGTAAGTGCACCCGTGTCACGCAATGCCTGAGGAGGACAGAAGAGGGCATTGGATCCCCTGGAACTGGAGTTATGGACAGTTGTTAGCCACCATGTAGGTAGTGGGATCCCAATCAGGGTCTTCTACAAGAACAGCCTGTTGGGGAACCCTGCTGTTAGGGTTGCAGTTTCTCCATGTCCGGATAGCCCTGAGAGGCTCGGCGCCAAATGGAAAAACTCCCCTTTTCAGCAGGGGGCCTCCTGCTCTCTCCCTGACTCACTTTGAAAGTGCCGCCAAGTGAAGATGCCTGGCCTTACAGATGCCTTATCTGAAACATGACCTTTGGCATAGTTACCTGGAGTAAAAACTACTCCCAGGTTTTTTCTATATGATAATCAGGCATTGTCTGATAGTCTGGAAGATAGGAGCCCACTGCCACATGTAAATAAAGCATATTATGAGCACCTATCAACTGAGGCTTTTGTTACTGCCTCCACACTATAAATTCTCTACTTTTCCCACTAATAAACGGAGCTGTATCACTGAATCTGGCTGGAGCTGTATCATTGCTGTTTCACTGCGCCTGGGGACCAGCCTGGGATCAGTCTCCCCGGAAGAGCTGTCTTCCATCAGCACTCACTGGCCATCCTGACTACGTTCGCCGCTTCTGTTCTCCCTGCCCGCGTGGATCGATGGCCAACGACCCACGAGCACATGGAGAGCCTCCCACAGCTGGCCCAAGCCTCCCGCAGCTTGGCGCAGAGCCTGCAGCGGAGAGAGAGAGTCGCCCTGCAACAGCCAGTGCTCTTAATCTGTGAGCCATCTCTTGAGCCCTGAGTGTTTTTTTTGTTTTGTTTTGTTTTTTAAGCCCTACCAAAAACTTTACTAGGGAAATCTGTATTTGTTTTTCGAGACAGAGTCTCACTGTAGAGCCCTGAGTGGCTTGGAACTCCCTGTATTGACCAGGCTGACGTCAAACTCTGATTGATCCCTCTGCCACTGCCTCTACTGTGCTGGCATTACAAGTGTGTGCCACCATACCTGGCTCTGTATTTATTTCTATCCATTGTAATGTATTGCCTCCTGTTTGTTAATATACTGTGTTTATATTGATTAAAAGTTTAATTTGTATGGGGTCCAGTGAGATGGATCAGTGGGTAAAAGTGCTTACCAGGCAAGCCTAATGAGTTGAGTTTGATCTTCTGAAACCACATAATAAAGCTGGGTATGGCGGCATGCATCTGTATTCCCAGCACTCCTACTGGAAGATGGGAGACAGAGACATCTTGTGGGCCACCTATCCTGGAGTATACAGCATGGCAGAAACAAGAAGAGACCCTGTGTCAGCAAGGTGGAAGGAGAGGACCAACTTCCCAGTGCTGTCCACATACCTCCACAAATGGATTGCAGTGAGGGCACTCGCTGGCGAGCTCTCTTTCTTGTTTCTTGCTCTTAATTGAAAAAAAAAAAACTTGTATAGACAAGAAAATTATTTTCCATTTATAAATTCATTATAGGAAAGTACACTGAAGTGGGCCATACAATATTTGGAGGTTTCAAAGAGTTTTCTAGATCTGACCTTTTGAATGCATTCTGAACCCTTAAACATGTATAGCTCTTTAATTCAACTCAGTTCCTTAGTCTGAGGCTCATGTTTCAGTTTCCTGTCACTGCATGTGGCTAATGACTGTTGTGCAGACACTCCAGAGACTGTATTTCCATCATTGCTGAAAGTTCTGATAGCACCATGCTAAAAAAAAAAAGGAAGGCAGGATACTGTATTTACTTATTTCTAAACCCTCAGTCTTTACAAAGTTTGTTAATAAAGTGAATATGTAGGACTTTGTGGAATAGACATTGACATAAAAGGAAAAGAACTGATTATCTTGAATATACTTTGAAACCTTCAGGACAGAATTGAAGTCACAGGGCTTGGTATGTCTAAATTAATCCAAGATACAGCTAGGGAAGCACTATAACAATTAGGCAATATTTTTCTCTTGTATTGATTTAAGTTCAGAGTCATAAAAATGTTGCTACATATTAGTGTTAGATCCTGGAACTTCTAAGACCAAACAATGACTCAAACCAAGTATGTGTAGTAGATAGTTGGATACACTGTTATCATTAAACCAGTTTTCTTTTGTATATGCAGATAATTTGAAATTTACTTAAATAGAGCATGTACTTTAGAAATGTAGAGTAGAGCCAGGCCACCTTTAGTCCCAGCACTCAGGAGGCAGAGGCAGGTGGGTCTCTGTGAGTTCAAGGCCAGCCTGGTCTACGTAGTGAGTTCCAGGCCATTTATGGCTACAGGGAGACCCTGTCTCAAAAAGACCAAAAAAAAAAAAAAAAAAAAAAAAGAGGGTTCTAGAAAATATCTAGGCCTGTCCTTAGAAACTAAGGAGTAAAGTAGGGAATTGTTATTCTTCAGGGACACTGTCAATGGGGGGAGAACCAGAACCAACACCATCATACTTCAACTTCATCTACCAATAGTACTCGACTATGCTGATAGCAAAGAAAGGCCTGCTTCATTGATTGCTCTTAGACGCTTTAATAATCTAGGTGGAAGGTCCAAGTTGGCAGCATAACCTGTCAGGGTATGTTATTTGGAGAACTGTAAATTTCATAATGTGTTGTCTTCTTTTTAGAACAACAATTTGTAATCTTTACACAATGCCACGAATTGGGGAGCCTGTCTGGCTTACAATGATGTCAGGGACTCCAGAAAAGAACCAGCTTTGCCATCGTTTGATGAAGGAGTTTACTTTTCTAATGGAGAATGCATCCAAAAATCAGTATGTCTTCTTTTGTTATTTATTATTTAGTTATGTTATTTACTGTAACTAGATAGCTACATTATAACCAAACTAAATGATGGAATTGAGAGGATTATCCATTATCTTTGTTATAATTTCTTATTGATAATCAAAACTGTGTTAAAATGATTTGATAACACAGTAGGGAAGAGTATCACAGAAGTATTTGAGCAGAAAATAATAAAAATGCCATTGTGCTGAATTAAAATTCCTGATATGCTACAGAATTCTCTGAGGCTTCCAATTTTTTTCCTCTGTGAATTGCATGTATAATTTTGTTTCATAAAAGAGTTTAACAACATAAAAGAGTTTAACAATATAAGGACGTGCTCAGATTCCAATGTTACACCTTTTTGAAAGTAGCAAAGAAACTTTCTTCAGAACTTAGGTCGTAGTCTAAATCAAATATGCTGCAGGTGGGCATCTGGCTCCTTGAGAGGTTGTACTGCAGGCCTGCAGTCACCCTTTCTATATCTTGTCTCACAGTGTTTTCTTAGCTGTTCATTAAGCCTTTAGACATCAGATGGCTAATGCAGATGCCTTTATTGTCTTTGTTGATAATTACTTACTACTTTCATTTATTTTTCCTGTTCAATACTTTGGAAATTACCTAGCTGGAAGTTCAGAAATAAAGGACCTGTTAGCTGATTCACTAATCACCTGAGCAAATTAAACACTGAAAAGGACCTATAGTAAGATGTGCTTTTGTTTTGTAATGTAATCTGAAATAGTTTCTTTAACTCTTCCCCAAGGGAAAGACTTAATAACTTTGCTTTGTTTTTTGTCTTGATGGTATACCTGTCTTTTCCTCTGTCCTCTTTTTAAATATTATTTGGTCACATGAGACTATATACTCTATTTAATCTGTCAGGACATTTTATTTATGGTTTCATGAGTATAGATTGGAATCTGACAGGATCCATTTTGTTTTCAGATTCTTGCCAGCTCTCATTACTGCAGTTTTGACCAATCATCTTGCCTGGGTTCCAACAGTCATGCCAAATGGACAGCCACCCATAAAAATATTTTTAGAAAAACATTCCTCTCAGAGTGTGGACATGTTGGCAAAGACTCATCCATATAACCCACTTTGGGCACAGCTGGGTATGTAGTCTGAAAATCCTTATACTGTGTATAAACTTAAGACTTATTTTTAAGCAAAAACAAAATAAAATCCCATTTTATTCTTTCATTCCAGAGCATCGCTCTGGTCCTTTTCTTTTCACGTCTTCTAAACTGTCCTGTGGTCTTATGCCTGGTATCATTCCTTAGAGCTAGAGAAATGTAGGCAGAGCAGAAGTTACAGCTTAACAGCTGGTTTAACTGGGATATGTCAGATCTATTTTTAATTCTGTGGTGATTTACAGGAACACTTTTTGAGAATTTCATACATGAGAACTCTGTTTACTCATTTCTACCCTTTCTTTTCCTCCAGCTCCTCCCATGTGTCCCCCTCCCACTCCTTCTTAATTTCATGACCTTTTCTATAATTGTTATTGATGCATATATGCACACACAACATACTGAGTCCATTTAGTGTTGCTTGTGTGTACATGTGTTTAGGGCTAACCATTTGAGATTGGATAACCAATCAGGGAACTCATCCCTGGAGAACTGGTCCTTTCTCCCCCAGTATCCATTGATTTCCTGTAGCTCTTCATCTAGGGGTGGGACCTTGTGAAATTCCCCCGTCCACACTGGCGTGTCCACTGGTGGTGTCATTATGCAGGTCTTGTTTAGGCAACAGTGTTGTTGAGATTCCGTGGGTGCAGCTTCCCTGTTATGTCTATAAAGATATATCGTGCAGCAGGCATTCTAGTCCTTTGGCTCTTTCAGCCTTTCTACCCCCATTTTCTGAGATATTCCCTGAGCTTTAAATATAGGGACTGGTTTGTAGATACACCAATTGGGACTGGGCACTCCATGGTCATTCATTCTGTGCATTTTGACCAGTTGTAGATCTCTGTATTAGCCTTTGTTACATAAAGAAGTTTGTGTGAGGGGTGAGAGCTATACTAATCTGTGCGTACAAGGGTGAGTGTTTAGAATATAGCTAGACACTATAGTGATTTAGGAGAATGGCAGTAGCAGGTTCTCTTTTAGAGTCTGTAATCTCTCCAGTCACTGTTTTCATTTTTGAGTGCATAGTATATCTAAGACTGTGCAAAGAGCATTGTACAGTACAAAGATAGATGAATAATTATATGTTTGCCTCAAGAGGTTGGCAGTCTAATACTGTAGGTAGTATGTATTTTGACAATAATAATAATTCAGTGAGTAAATTTAAGAGAAATGAAAGTTGAGTGGTAGTTCAGTAAGGGGAGGTTTGCTCCATACCCAGGTGTGTTCCTGACTGAGAAGCTTTGTACTGGCAAAGACAGAAGATTGAGCATAATGAGGAATGGAATCTCGGTGTTGAAGTCTAAAGGAGTAGATGTAAGAGGAGAAATCTGAGAGGGTAAAGTGCAGTCAGTCAGGAACGACTTACCATGCCAAAGCAGTTTAGTTTATCTGATAGTTTAGTTAGAATTTGGAGGATTATTATGGAGGATTATTTGTGATATTTGACCTAGTCTGTTACCCAGAGGAGAAGATTCATCACAGTACTATCTGTAGAATATACATACTTGAGACTCGTATCTTTATTGCCTTTAAAATGCATGGCTTTTTTGTAATATGAAAATAGAGATTTTGCCGGGTATAGTGGTACATGCCTTTAGTCCCAGCACTCAGGAGGCAGAGGCAGGCAGATCTCTGTGAGTTCAAGGCTGGCTAGGGCTATGTGGAGACCCTGTCTCAAAAAGACCGAAAAAAAAAAAAAAAAGAAGAAAAAGAAAATAGAGATTTTTTAATTTGCATACTGACAAATTACAAAAAGGGAATTATTTATCTTACTATTTCTGTATTCATTTTGAGTTTTTGTTTTGCACCCAAGTTAGAGATTTAATTTGAGCCATTGCATAAGCACAGAAATGTGTGGTGTGACTTTTCCCACTTCACACCACCACAACCCTGTTTACTCTCCTTGCCTGATGCAGATTTTGTGCATTCGACATAGCTGTGGACTCCTTGTGACATAGTACTTCTTTACCCACATAAAGGTTCTGTGCATGGTACCTGGCCTAGAGAATATTCTTAACAAATGGGACTTTTGGGACTGACTCTTTGAGGTTTCGAAACCACAACAATTGTTAGGAAGAAGCTAGAGCACCATTGCTGCCCCCCACCCCATTAAAACCATTTGTCTTATCCCATGCTCTTGAATTGTCATCTTTTAAAGAACTTAAAAGTAAAATTTAAATTACTTTGAGTAGGTTTTTTCAGAATTGAAGTAGCCTATTTGGCTGTGTTTCATTAACTGATTTTTCCACTGCAGGAGACTTGTATGGCGCGATTGGCTCTCCTGTACGGTTAGCGAGGACGGTGGTAGTTGGCAAACGGCAAGACCTAGTCCAGAGACTGCTTTATTTTCTTACTTACTTCATAAGATGCTCTGAACTTCAGGAAACTCATCTTTTAGAGAATGGAGAAGATGAAGCCATTGTGATGCCAGGCACAGTGATTACTACCAGCTTAGAGCGAGGGGAAGTGGAGGATTCAGAGTACGTGCTCATCACAATGCACAGAAACAAAAGCCGTTTGCTCTTTAAAGAGTCTGAAGAGACAAGAACTCCTAACTGTAACTGTAAATATTGCAGTCATCCACTCCTCAGGCAAAGTACGGAGAACGTGTCCCAACAAGAGAGAGAAGATAGCCAAGACAGCTCTAAGGAACTTGTAGGAATTTCAGATGAATGCCGAATGATTTCTCCTCCTGACTGCCAAGAAGAAAATGTTGTTGATGTTAAACAATATAGAGATAAATTAAGAACTTGCCTTGACAGCAAGTTAGAGACTGTTGTTTGCACAGGATCTGCTCCAGTAGACAAGAGTGTTTTGTCAGAGACAGGCTTAGAGCCAACAGAAGGAACATGGCAGAGTACAAGCTTGCTGGATGCAGATAGTCATACAGACAAGGAGATGAGATCCACAGGGATAGCTGTGGAAAAGAAACCTCCAGACAAGACTGTGCGTGGCGCACTTTCTTGTGAGGTAATTCAGACAAAAGTTACTTTCTTGATTGGGGATTCTATGTCACCTGATTCAGATACAGAACTTCGGAGTCAGGCAGTAGTGGATCAGATTGCCAGACATCACATCAAACCATTGAAGGAAGACAGAGGGGTGACTGAGAAGCATCAAGAAAGTAAACAGACATCTAAGGACCAATCTGGAGAGTCTAATACACAGAATGTGGTTTCTGGTGAGCCCTGTGAACTTCCATGTTGGAATCATTCAGACCCAGAAAGCATGAGTTTATTTGATGAATATTTTAATGATGAGTCAATTGAAACCAGAACTATTGATGATGTTCCAGTTAAATCAAGTACAGACAGCAAAGAATATTGCTATATGTTAGAGTTTCCAAAAAGGCTGTGTACAAAAAGTAGCAAACAGGGGAATGAATTTTGTAAATGTATAGAAACAGTTCACCAAGATTCATGTAAAACCTGCTTTCCTCAGCAGGACCAAAAAGATACACTCTCCATGGTTATCCCCCATGGGGATAAAGAGAGTTCAGAGAAAAAAATTGCTACAGGAACTGAATGGGACATTCCAAGAAATGAAAGTTCAGATAGTGCCCTTGGAGATAGTGAAAGTGAAGACACAGGCCATGATCTGACAAGACAAGCTAGCAGTTACTATGGAGGAGGAGAGCAAGAAGACTGGGCAGAAGAGGATGAGATCCCTTTTCCTGGGTAAGCAGAAAGTTTTTACCTCTAGTAGGCCCTACCTAAGATTATACCATTCTTATCTTTAGCTGGTCTCTGCAGATTGGTGAAAGCTAATACAAAAAGAGAGCTCAGGGCCCACAGAGATGGCTTATTAGGAAAAAGCAGGTGTCGCATGGGCCTGATGACCTGAGTTTGATCCTTGGAACCCACAGTGGAAAAAAAGAACCAACTCTCAAGGGTTGTGCTCTTACCTCCACATGCATCTACATTCATGCATCAAAGTAATAATAGATAACATTTTATGTTTTATTATTTTTATGTGTATGAATGTTTTGCCTGCATGTAGTAAGTGCACCCATGTCATGCAATCCTTACAGAGGTCAGAAGAAAGCATAGGATTCCCCTGGAACTGGAGTTATAGACGTTTGTTAGATGCCATGTGGGTACTGGGAATTGAACCCTGGGTCCTCTACAAGAGCAGCCAGTGCTCTTAACCATTGAGCCACCTCACCGGCCCCAAATACATGTTTTTTAAATGGTCATTGTACTGCCCAAATTATCTTTTTATTATCATGTGATACTTTTACTCATAGGCGGAATTAAAGACTTCCTCACACCACCCCAGAAAGACTTTGTGAGGGCATCAAAGAGAAGTTAAAGGATCTAAGAGGAATGTAGGAAAATGCTTTCTGCTTAGTATTCAGATCATCTTGGAGTAAATTAAACTTGCCCAAACCCCCAGTTGACTGATGACAAGCCAGGCACTAAGGAAGAGAATCTTAGGGAAAGGAAGGACTGGCTGTGAGAAATAAATTTGGGGAGGCTGGAGCGATGGCTCAGTGGTTAAGAGCACTGACTGCTCTTACAGAGGACCCGGGGTTGATTCTCAGCACCCACATGGTGGCTGCAAACCATCCTTAACTCCAGTTCCAGGGGAATCCAAAGCCCTCTTCTGACCTCCATGGTATTGCATGACACGGGTGCACTCACATACATACAGGCTATTCACTCATATACATAAAATAAAAATAATAAATAAAATATTTTTTTTAAAAAAAGAAATTTTTACCTCCTCTTGAAACTCCACAATGAGAACTGCTATTCCTTGGACCTTTGCTGGGCTATTTATGTTCTACATCTTCGTCATTCTCCCTTCTGTTTCAGGGACTATTCTGTACAACTTTTATTCTCCCCAGGCCCCAAAAAAAAAAAAAAAAAAAAAAAAAAAAAAAAGAAAGAAATTTGGGCAAGACTATGAAGAATAGAGGGAATATGTGCTTGAGGTCAAGTATGCAAGATAAATCATCTGTGCCTGAAAACATGGACCTGGATTAGAACTTGGAAAGTATGTAGCTACTTTGTATAGACAGTGGATTACATAATCTGATTTTGTATTAGGAATGTGTTACATAAGGGACTGCTCTCCTAAAGTCTGTTATAAAAGATTCGTGCTCACTTCCTTACAAAGTTGTTCATCAGACCTCTCCAGGTAAGAAGAGTATTTTGTGGTCTGTTTTAGGACAGTTTGTATATAAGTATCTTTTGTTCTGTATACAGTTTAAAGAAAATAATGGTACTAAAGGCCGGGCATGGTGGCACATTCCTTTAGTTCCAGCACTTGGGAGGCAGAGGCAGGCAGATCTCTTGAGTTCAAGGCCAGCCTGGTCTATGTAGTGAGTTCTAGGCCAGCTGGGGCTAGAGGGAGACCCTCTCTTTAAAAAAAAAAAAAAAAAAAAAGATACTAGAACTATCGACTGGTAGAACTCACCCCCCACTCCCCACCTTCACACAACTGATAAAAACTGTGCAGTACTCACTAGATTTCCCTTCCTTGGGAATGTTTCTTCCAGGTCAAAGTTAATTGAAGTGAGTGCTGTTCAGCCCAACATCGCCAACTTTGGGCGATCCTTGCTGGGTGGCTACTGCTCATCTTACGTGCCTGACTTTGTCCTTCAAGGGATTGGAAGTGATGAGCGGCTCCGTCAGTGTCTGGTGTCAGATTTGTCTCATGCTGTGCAGGTAAGTGACCTTCACTGTTCTTGAGTATATTTAGGGACAACTCTATTAACAACCAGCAGAACCCAAATTTGCCTTGTATTATAATTTTGGTTAGCTGTGACCATATAACACAGTCATTGCTCTTTGAATCTGTCACTTCATATATAGCACCTGTGTCTTTGTACTTACCATTGTGAAAACAAGTATTGCATTCTAGGACTCTCCCAAATGGAAGTCTGAAATGTCAAGAATACTTTACATCTTCATAGCAACAAAACCTGGAAATATTCAAATCAGATTATTTTCTTTATTTTTCAGATTTTTGTTTATATAGAGAGATATAATTCTTTCTGTGTGATTATTTTTTTATCCTATAACTTTCTTGAACTTTTACTCTGTGGTCACTGCCAGTGGTGGCCGCTCCTCCGTTCTCGTGGGTGCTGCTCCTTCATTTTCACAGGCGTCAAGGCTGCTCCTCTGCTTGCTCTGGGCTGAGGCCACTCTTCTGCCTGCCCTGAGCTGAAGCCACTGTTCCACTCGCCTGGTGCTGAGGCAGCTCTTTTGCTTGCCCTGTGCTGCCTCCTGTCATTGCTGCTTCTGCCTGGTCCTGGACCCCAGAGCTGGTGAGGAGACTGTGTCAGTAGAGCCACATTCAGACACAGGAGACCAGGTTCAGTGACACAGATCTGGTTTATTGCAGGAAGGCGCAAGCTTATATAGGGGTAGTGGTCCAATCACAGCACAGCAAGTAGGACACCTTATTAGCATAACAGGTTTAGCATCCTATCACAGTACAGCAATTAGGATACCTTATTAGCATCATCCTATTAGCATAACAGACTTAACCTCCTATCACAGAACAGAGGGTAGGATGCCTCATTAGCATGCTGGGTTTCAGATTACAGAGCCTGGATTCCTGGAAACCATGTGACTCTGACAGTTGCAGTATCACCATAGGCTCAAGCCTGTCTCCCACGTTACTCTATTTTTTTTCCTGTAGAATCTTTGGAGTTTTTAGACACAGGGTCATGTGTTCAGTGAACAATGTTACATCTTCCTTTCCAGTCTTGATTGTACTGGTTAAACCTATACAATGTTGTATGGAAGGGTGACAGAAGATGTTATTGTCTTGTTCCTGATCTTAGGAGGGACAACATTGAGTCTTTCATGGTTAAGGCTCCCTCCCCTCTCCTTCCCTCCCCTGTCTTCCTCTCTCCCCTCCCTTTCCCCTTCCCTTTTCCTTTTCTTGTCTTTTCATCTCACTGTGCAGCCCTGACTGACCTGGAATTCTGCATTACAGGTGTACACCACATCCTGCTTTCTATTCCAAGTCATTGACTTGTTGTTGTTCATTGGTTGATTAGTTGGTTGGCACTTAAATCATGAATGGGTGTGGAATTTTGTCAAATGAAGCTTTTTATGTGTCTACTGGGATGATCATGTAGTTTTTCTAAACTGTAAATGACATGGTTATGTTGATTGAGTTTTAGAAAATAAACCCTTGGATTCCTAGAGAAAAGTCCCATTTGGTTATGGTATATAGTTCTTTTGATACTTTGTTAGATTTGACTTAATATTTGGTAATAGATTTTGACATCTGTATTCATGTAGAATATTCATATGTGGTTTTCCTTGATGCTTTTGTCTAGCTTTCAAATCAAGGTCATTAATAATGGCCTCATAGAATGAAGTGGGAAGTATTCCCTTCTCTATTTCTGGAATTGTTTCTAGAGGATTGTTACTGGTTTTTCTCTAGGTAGACTTCACCAGTTGCATCTATGTGAATCTGACCTATTTGTAGGAAAGAGGGAAAGAGGGAGGAAGGAAGGAGGAAGGGAGAGGAAGAAAGGGGAGGGGAGAGGTATGGGGGAAAGGAGGGAGGGGTGTGCATGTATGTGCTTGTATGTATGCTGGTGCACAGCTTGTACATGCACATGCAGAGATCAAGTGGGGACATCAAGTGTCATATTGTCACTCTCCACCTTATTCCCTTGAGACAGGGCTTAAAACTACATCTGGAACTTGCTGATTTGGGACTAGACTATCTGATCAGCAAGCACCAGTGACCCATCTCTGTCCCACAAAGCACTGAGGTTACAGGCACGAGTTCTCGGTTTTTCTGAGTCAGTTTTTGTGTGGGTGTGTGCATATGTATGTATGGGGGGCATGGGCACTTGCGTGTATGGAGGCCAGAGGTCACCATTGGGTGTCTTCCTCTATACTTTTCTGCCTTGTTTTTGGAGACAAAAAGGATGAGCCTTGTCTCCTCCCTAGGACTTATAGGTTATAGATATATGCTGCTCTGCCCAGTTTCTTATGTGGGTGCTAGAGATCTCAACTCGGGTCTTCATGCACACAACAAGCACTTTACCACTGAACCTTTCCTCTACCCCACCCAGTTTTTGGTTTTCTGGGAACATACCCTATTGCTTCATTTAAGTGATCTAACTTACTAGAATTTAAGTTACTACTGATAAATATAATTCTCTTAATTTCTATAAGCTTGATGATACTATCCCCTATTTTGTGTTTTTTTTTTCTATGTCTTGTCCCCTGTTCTCCAAAGGTAAAATTTCTAAAGAGGAATTCATTTATGGGTTGACAGAAATTGTAGACTTTTTTTAGTTTTATTTTTGTTTTTTTTTTTTTAACCCATTTCAAAGGTTAGCATACCATTAACTGTAGGTCAGATTGTTCTACCTTTTTTTTTTTTTTTTTTTTTTTTTGTCTTTTTTGAGACAGGGTCTCCCTGTAGCCCCAGCTGTCCTGGAACTCACTATGTAGACCAGGCTGGCCTCGAACTCACAGAGATCCACCTGCCTCTGCCTCCTGATTGCTGGGATTAAAGGCGTGCGCCACCATGCCCGGCTCCATCCCACTTTTTGTAGATAAAAGTTTTAATGGAACACAGAGCCTTTTGTTTGTATTTCTCAAGGCTGTTTTTATATTTAACAACAGAGTTGAATCATTGAAACAGGCCTTTCAGCCCACGAAGTCTAAAATATTTTCAGTGTTTCTCTCTAGAGAAAATTTTGCTGATTCCCATCTCTGTAAAGATTAATCAGTTTTGTTCATTTGTTTTCAAAGAAAGTACTTTTGTTTTCATTGGTTTTTCTCTAGTCTTGATTTCTGTTCCACTGATTTCTACCACAATCCTATGTATATTTAGTTTATATTGAGTTTCTTTGACCTACAGGTAGTGAGAAGTGAACTGTTAAATTTCTAAATATTTCTTAAATTTATTGTTGATTTCTGATTTACTTCCATTGTGATCAAAGAACTGTTCTGTGATTTTTAAACCCTGGTCTGTTCTAGAGAATGTGCATGTACTCTTGAAAAGAACATATATTCTGCTGTTGTTGGGAGAGGTGTTTTCTAGGTAACATGTGGAGTTGATAGATTACCTTCAAGTCTTTGGTGTCTTTGCTGGTTTTCTAAGTTATTGAGAATATTGATGTGTTTGGCTATTGCTTTGTTGAATTTTCTCTTTCTCCCTTTAATGGCCTTTGCCACTTTTTGTTTTGATTTGTTGGCTTTTTTGAGACAAGACCTCACTGTATTCCAGGCTTGTCATGAACTTGCAGTGATCTCTTGTCTCTGCCTCCCACATGCTGGGATTACAGTTATGCATCAACCAGCTCTACTCTCTCTCTCTCTTTTAAAAAGCTAAAAAGGGAGGGGCTGGAGAGATGGTTCAGCGGTTAAGAACACTGACTGTTCTTGCAGAAGACCCAGGTTCGAATCCCAGCACCCACATGGCAGCTAACAACTGTCTGTAACTCCAGTCCCAGGAGATCCAACAGCCTCTTCTGTCCTCCGCGGGCATTGTATAACACAGGTGCACTTACCTACATACAGGCAATGCATGCATACACATAAAAAATAAATAAATAAAATATATTTAAAAAAAAAAAAAAGCTAAAAAGGGAAGCAGAGGTAGCCGACTGGTAAATCATGGGTGAGAAAATATGGCTCAGTGATCAAAACAGTCACTTAATTGTTGGTTAAAAAAAGATTCAAACATGTCTCTGCAGAAATTTATGAGCAGTTTTAAATGTTGATGTTTTATTATATAGTAGGGAAATTATGACAAATTCTAGATAAAATTAAAGTTTGTGAAGAAAACATCAAAATTGTCTTCTTCATATTTAGAGGCCGTAAACTCAATCAGATACGTAATCAGATACCCATTTATTGACCTTGTAGCCTTCAAACCTAGAGGCAGTACTGCAAAGATGAAAATTATTTTTTCTGATGAAGTTACTTACTGAGCAGTGGAGACAATAAGACCAAGTATATGAGTAAATTAGCACAGAGTGTACCATAGAAGATGTGTGACTGTTGGTGGTGTCCTTAGAGCTACAGGGCCTATTTCTGTTGTGCAGTGCTAGTGCTGTCACCCAGCCTAACACAGTGTAGCTGTATTAGTTGCTTTTCTGTTGCTCTGATAATCAGACACTATACCATGACCAAGGCAACTTATAGAAGGAAGAGTTTATTTGAGCTTACAATTCCAGAAGGTTAGAGTCCATAATAGCGGGGACAGCATGGCAGCAGAAGTGGCCGAAAGCTGAGTGATGACATCTTGAAGCAGGCACAGGAAGAAGAGGGAGACAAGAAATCTGGCAAGGCTTTGGAACTCTCAAAGCCCGCCGCCAGTGATGGGCTTCCTCCTGCAAGGTCACACCTCCTAAAACTTCCCAAAACAGCACCACCAACTGGGGATACTTGAAGCCTATGGAGGACATTCTTACTACCACCATAGTAGGCCTCAGTGTTTGTTGAATTACTTGGTCAAGGACACACAGGACCTCTCAATACACTCCTTTGTTGTCTTGTCTTTTAAGATGTCTGGTCTCAGTTGCCTGGTCTCTTTTTTTTCTTCCAAGGTTTTAATTTTATTTACTTATGTACTTAATGTATGTATGTACATAAGCAAGTACATGCACATGTCACAGCACAGTGTGGCGGTCGGTCACGCAAGTTGTAAGTTCCAGGAATCCAATTCAGGTCTTCAGACT